CAAATAAATTGTGTGTATTAGGTATGTGCTAATGTTCATTTCAGGGCACCTTTGAAAAGTTTTACTGCAGTGTTTTTGTGCTGTGATAGACCTTGCACTCTAGCCATGGCTTTTGGCTAATATTTGTGTTTTCCTGTTGTAAGGAGTTTGACTGAAACATGGTAAATCTAAGAAGGTAACCTTTTCCATACCTTTGGGTTGCGATGGGTACAGAATCTTTCAAACATACCTATTTTGACTTTCAGTATAGGGATGTGGAACCCTTAGCCTACAGGACAGATTTGATCCAGGACCCAAACCATACTTATGCCATTAATGTGCATCATTTTCCTACTGCAGTTGCTGGTAGGATATTAAGAAAACAATGAAGCTAGTGATGCTGGTACCACAATGTGAGTGCTGCTGTGCTTGAGCACACATGAAATTGAGCAGAGGGAGCAATAGATTTTTCTTTGTGCTTGAGTGATTGAAAACAGTGCAAGCATAAGGGGGAAAAGGAGAATTCCTGCTGTTTTGTGAAAAATACTTATCCTTGATAAAATAATAAAACTGTGGCATTGTTTTCTTCTTGGTCCCTTATTAGAATATAGTGTCTATTTATGAAGAGTAGACTGATCTATTTTGTGCTGTCACACAGCTCAAGTAATAGCCCAGAGGGGGAAATTTTGAGTAGTTCACTGTAAATGCAATACAGCTCCTATTTTATGTGGCTCATGTGATATTTGGAAGGAGCTACAAGGATTGCCTTTTAACTCTACCGTGTCTTTTGGTTTTGGTAAGACTTCTTCATAGTTCTACCACTTTGACAGGATATTCCACTGGCTAATTCATGGTAAGTTTTATTAATTTAGTAATGTTTGTCAATGAAATACCATAGTGGCATTTCAGATGTGGCTATGGTGTGGTTTTTAGTGTGTATATATACTTTGATAAGGAAGCAGAAAATGGATTCTGTTCTTTGTAAGAAAGACAGACAATGTGTCTGTCCTTTGAGCATCGCATTACTTTTTTGGTCACTCCGTTTCAAAAAGGATACTGGACATGGAGAAGAAAGCTTCACAGAATGGCCACACACATGGTCATTAGTTTCCATGCAAGGAATCATGAAACACTCTACAACTTTCTATCTCTGAAAAGGCAGCTAGAAGAAAGATGTGACAGTGGCTTGTGGAAATAATGATCAGGGGGAAAGGCAGAAATGGGTCAGGGATGGGATAAAGCTCAGCTGTCTTTTGTTGTTTCCTGGAACTAGGTAAAATGAGTGAGGCTAGTACAAGGCAGGTTCAAAACACACAAATGGAGGTGGTTCTTCTCACTGTGTAACTAGCTGGGGAACTTTTTACCACAGGGTATTACGTGCTGACCTGGGTTCAGAGGTGGGATGGGTAAATTCATGGAGAGGTGATCTGCTGCATTTGTTATGTAATAGAAGCTGTCTTTGGTTCAGGAAGTTTCTCATAAGCTAATGTTTGGAGGCAGGGATAAAACTTGATGGAAGCATCATGCTGTACTTGTCCTATTCTTACCATCTCATAGCTTTTCTTTCCATAGATGTGAGCAAGGTCATTTGTAAGAGAGAGGGGGGAAGTCATCCTCCTTGCAGAAATTATAAGAGAACTGAGATTTTTATGGTGAAGAAATGGAAACTTCATAAAGTAGATTGTTAACTCTATGTAACTTAGAGCACTGTGCTTACAATGTAATTGTTTTCTAATATCTGGGGGTCGGAAGGAATTCCTAGTTTGATACACTACTGCAGGTGCTGACTGTTAAAATTAGGAGGCGAGTACCAAGTTGAAATTGGAAAGGCAGAATTTCTTGGATTGAGGCTCCAAGATTGTATCTGACATGCTAGCAGGCCTATCTGAATGCCTAACGATGCTATTAACTATGCACAGGAGTAGATGCTTTAATGTTTCTTTTGTTAGGCATGGTTAAATGATACAGATGAGTTTATGTACCACTGAGAAACTTGAAGCTGTAAATCAGAACTGACAACATTAAAAACCTATTTCAAGGCATAGCCTGCTTTTCATATTGCAAACTAAACACAGGTCTTTTGAAGATCCTGCAAATGAGGAAGGGAAACTTGCAATTAGAAATCAAGAACCTGACTCAGAAGGACTGGTGCATAGCACTGACTTGCTGGTCACTATTAATGGCCTTTCAGTCATAAAATAGTGACAAATAGAGTATTATGAATTCTTCTACAGACTAGTTGCTCTTTTTGATGTCTTTCAAATTGTAACTTGCATGATTCCTCTTACACCGCATCTTATGAGTGATGTTAGGTTCCCGTGACTTAATTACAAAACATAGGTGACTTACAGTAGGCACTACAGAATAAAGAGTGATAATGAACACTACAGGATAGTTTTATAAACCAGGGTTGTCTTTACTTTCACTTGAGAGACATTGAGAGCTCCAAGCAGGAAGACAGCACTAGGAACAGTGCTGCCTTAATAGAAGAATAAATATTTACTGGGATTTTGTGACACCTCAAGCAATCCAAATTTATTTATTCAGTTTTTAAATGTTGGAGGGGCAAGTCTTCAGTTTATGTTGAGAGGCATTAGGACTGTGCTAGAGTTTAAATTTGTGCTTTAATTACCAAGCAGTCATTTGAGGCTTAGAAAATGGAATATGGTTATCGGTTATGACAAGTTAAGAAGCAATTAGTTACAATGCTAATAATTAATTTTTAAGTAGGTTAACTTTGTTTACCAAAAAAGATAGTTATTTCAACTTCTGTGGACTATGGGATGTTAGTCTGAGTGAGCTTTGTCTAGAGAAATGACCAAACGAGAGACAATGCAGTAGAAATAATGATGTCCTTAATGGGGAAGCTACAGCATTGTATGGCTTATTTTATCCCTATCCTAAACTTGTAGCAGTAGGTTACTGATATAATGGGGTAGCTCAGTAAGGTGTCATTTCATCAAATATCATGCTAAGCCCGAAACACTTCAATGATTTCAGTATGACTCTAAACCTGAACTCTTCCGTGCCTTGAACTTGATGGAATCCAATAAACAGGCTTCATTTTCTTCAGAAAGGGAGTGACTTGTTTTTTAATCCTTTCCAGGTCAAAGACCGGGGTCCAGAAGCCACAAGAAGATTTTTTAATTGGTTTTACTGGAGCATTAATTTGGGAGCTATTCTGTCTCTGGGAGGCATTGCATACATTCAACAGAACGTGAGCTTTGTTATTGGCTACAGCATCCCAACAGTTTGCATTGGGATTTCATTCATGGTTTTTTTATGTGGTCAGAGTTTCTTCATCACAAAACCACCTGATGGTAGTGCCTTCACAGACATGTTTAAAATCCTCGCGTATTCTTGTTGTTCAAGAAAGAGACACGTGGAACATTCAGCTAACAGGTGTGTATTGATCTTTTATATAGTCTGGATTCGGTGATAAGAGTTGGAACTAGTTAGTTCAAACTAGATGGCAGGAAGTCACACCAGGGAATACACTGGGAGATACAATTTTGCTTTGAGAACTGGAAAATTTTAGTCCTGGAGATACTTTCTGGAGTGAGAGAGGGGCACATCTTGAAATCACTGGGTCTGCTTGCTGCAAGGTCAAGTCTGCTGGTTTTGATTGAATGCTGTGGCTTGCCAGATCATTCTGAAAGCGTAATGTAACCTAAGCGAGCTGCCTTTAAAGCATTAGTTAACTTTCTTCTCTGCTTAGATATGTTTATAGGATGAGTTCTGATTTGAAAGACACTATAATCTGCATTTAATATTCAGAGTGGCTTGATGCACAGCTAAAATGTCTGCTGATGTTTTGCTTCCCAAATGGTTACCCCACTCTTAAGAAGGCCGTGGAATACTGTTGGCCTTCTATGTATTCATATTACAAAACAATTCAATTAATAAGAATAATCTGTATTTTGTGATCCTCTTCTTAAGTTCTGAGTTTGCAGTGCCAGTTATTCATGCATGGTGGTGTGAGGATGGGAAATAAAGAAACCTTTATAATAGAAGTTTTCAGCTGATGCTTTCACCTGCTGATGATCCATCCTGATCTAGTTGTTCTGATGCAACTTACACAAGTAACATTTTTTGGAAATGTGTGACCTTTTTATAATGAGATATTGAGGTTTTGTTGCTGCTTTACTGAACATTTCAAATTCTTTTCAAAAGCGAAAGCCAGGGAGTACTTCAGCAACCTCGCAAGCAAAGCCTGTTTGAGATGGCCAAGCTGTCTCGTGGGGGCCCATTCAGAGAAGATAAAGTAGAAGATGTGAAGGCTCTTGTCAAGATTATCCCTGTCTTTTTGGCTTTAATACCTTACTGGACAGTATATTTTCAAGTGAGTAGTTCCAAATAATTACATTTTTATTTTACATGTCTAAAACCATAATTTAAGGGCCATAACTTCCTCCTCCCAGTTGCATTTGAAAGATCTCTTGGCAGTTGCAGTTCTGAGTCTGTGTTATAAATCTAACTCCTCTCTGAAAATTACCCCCCTGAGCAGTTACCTGGAGGAAACGCACAAAAGCTTTTGTGGGGAAGCTGTTCTGTAAGGTTTATTTACACTTGGCATTCAGTAGCAGTGATTCTAAAGATGAGTATCGAAGAAGATTTTTTTGGTACTCTGGTATTGGCAGTTTGACCTGTTTAACACCCGTGTGTTCAATAATGTTAACTACTTGTCTTTCACACATCTGGGGTTGCATCTCAGGAGTCATTTTAATAATGTTATATTAGCAAAACTAATGCTATGTGATGATAGCTTCTGATTTTTTTTTATTTGCTAGATAAAATTGTGGAAAGCTATATTAGCTTACCAGTACGCCAAAGCATCTAATTTCACGTCTCTCTGAGGACTCTCATAAATATGAAACTCATCCTGAACTTGAGAGATGAAAAATGGCTGCGAAGAATCCTTTCAAATAGTATTTTTACTTGCTAATAAAAAAGAAAAGAAAATGATAGTTAAAACACAGTTGTGCAATTTAACATCTCAAATATTTGAGCTATGTTTCATCTTGTAGTTGATTCAGATAGGTCAGGGTAAGTGGTTCAGATTTCATTTTGATTAATTCCTTTCTGGCTCTTCTGTCTTGGGAAGAGAAGTTGGGATAGCAAATACGTTTTGGTAGAAAAATACACAGAAGTTGTTTTTAAGGTGACATGAATGATTCTTTGCTTTTAGTAAAAATAAATGTAGGGGTTAAAAAATCTTGCAAGGTTCTGACACTAATTCTTTTTGTTTTGCTATAGTAGCACTTTACCTCTGTTATCATCTTTGTTAATGATTAAAATGTAAAAATATCCTGCTCTCAGTAGTCCTCCTCCAAGTAATCTCATCTTTCCTACTACTAGATGCAGACAACATATGTATTGCAAAGTCTCCACCTGAAAATTCCTGAAATATCAAATGACACCAACTCTATTCATACGGTAAGCTGGCAAAACGGTGAGAAGCTTCTTTAGTTGAAGTGCAAAACAGTATTGTACAAAAATTCCATGAAGTTAAGGTAGTGACTAAGGAGAATCAATGACCACAGATACTGGGTATTTAGAAACATGACGCATAGTCCAGAGATTTTGGCATACCTACCAGTATATGAAGTTCACACCATCCTGTTTTGTATGTATTCAGACTGCTTTCACTGCTTCAATTAAGAGTATCTTTATCCTTCAGTAAACAAAGTATGATCTCTGAAGAAAGCTTTTAAATTCACATGCCCTAAGTTTTCACAGTTGCTAGTAGCACAACAACATTCGTACAGACTCAGTAGGAATACCCATAGTTAACTGTAACATTATTATTTGCAAATTCAGAACTGAATGCATTTGTAACTTCATACTGTTCAGTTAATATTTATTCACTTTACCTTGGATCAGTTGAGCATACTGGAGGTAGTTGTTCAATCACTGTATTTCAAGAAAGGCTGGCATCACGTAATTGCAGAAATGGTACTGAGAATTAAAAACAGAAAGTATGACTGTATTAACAGGCTTACTGGAAACTCTTTTAAAATTAAGTTTAGAATCACAGAAGAGTTTGGGCTGAACTGACCTTAAAGATCAGTTTCTTTTATTTTAAATTAATATCAATAATACAGAATAGCTTCAGTCTTCTTAGAGATCAAAAAAAATGCTTGTGCTTTATTTTTGTTTGAACTTGCTTGAAAACTGAACTGCTTTGAATCATAGCTGAAGGCTTAATGGAAGTTAGTGGTTAAGTAAGTGGTCAAGTAAGACTTCTAAACCAACCCAGTGCTAGTTAGTTACTTTTACATAGTTAAAAAAAAATAAAGAAAGAGTAGTCTGACACTTCTTCAGTTAAATGCATCAACAAAAGGATCTAAGGTCAGTTTCTTCAGCTGAGTTCTCAGTTTGTGTAATTTTTGTTGCATAGCATTTGGGCACAGAACACCATGGCCACCTTCCCTTCAAGGTTAAGTTTTGGTGTGTTTGAGTTGCATGTTTATTTAAACATAAGATATTTTCTTGTTTAAAAAAAACCCTGATTAATCTGAGGCTTCTGCTTTAGTTGCATCAATTTTGTGGATTACATTCAAGGTAATTGCTATTTTTTAGTATACTACTAATTCTTCAGTACAGGTTGGCACATTTACATTTTGATATGTAACCCATTTTGTTCTTTTCATTGAGCTTTTCATATTTATTTATTGCTTGCATTTAAGAGAACTCTCTGGATTTTTTTCTGTTATTATGAAACATGTGACTGTCTTGTTGAAACACTGTCAGTTTGACTAGAGAAGTGGCTTTTCTTTCTTGTAACAAAGTGTACACAGGACTTCAGAGTCCCATTGTCAGTCTGAATATTTATAGTATAGAAATGAACGTGGAGCTTTGGTTATCAAACTGAGCCTTTCCCATCACCTTTTTGGGCATTAGAATTGTTTTCAAGTTGTAAGGAGAGTATTATGTTGGAATTAGTTCAGAAAAATAATGGCTTTTATGGGTTTTGCTGACAAGACTAAAACACCACTCATGACGTGTAGCCACTTTTTCTAACTTGAAAGTATGGCTTTAAAAGTTAGTTACCTGGTTTTAGTGTTTACTTAGAGTATGCAGAATTCAATACAAGGTAATGGAACAATAATCCTGGTCTGTCTTGATACTTCTAAACCAGGATTTTCTATCTTGCATAAGAGTGACTGGCTCCTTTTTCTGCAGTGCATCAGTTATGTTGCTCTTCTTGGTTTATTTTGAAATACTTTCCTGTGGTTTAACAGCATTAACAGTAGAAGTCAATAATAAGTTAATTTGATTTTTGCTGCCTTCCTTGGTGTGTGGTCTACTTGAAGGATGCTGACCTGCAGCCTATATTATGTAGGCAGTTTCTTTGAAAGCAATTCTGACTAGTTTGGTTTCTCCAAATGGAAGTGTTTGGAGATAATAAACGAGTGGTAATATAATGTTTTACCTTAGTAGCTTTGTACCTTATCAGGTCTAGGCTTTCTTTAAGCTCTTTTAGGTACCTCTGCCCAATACTAATCAAGTGTATTTACTAATATATTTCCTCTTGCTATGAAAAGAGTGATATATGTGTATGCCCTTTTAATTTGCAGGCTCGTGATAGAGTAGAAAATGGAAAAACGTAGATTTTTAAACAAAAAAAGAACTCCAAACCACCAAAGAACCCCAAACCCAAGTGATCGATTGTATGAAATGCAGCAGTGCCAGAGGCATTTGGTATTTCTCTTCTTTCTTAACAGATTCAGCAAGGGCAAAAAATTCCTACATCCTTGACTCTTATTACACAAATCAGTCTTTGTACAAACTGTTACAGAGGTTAAGGTTAGTGTGGTATTTGAAGCAAACAAAAAGGTGAATGGGAGAGGGAGGGAAATTGACAGGTTTGAAGTTTTGCTGAATATTTTAAAATAAGCAAGAACTTGACTAACTAAGCAGAATTCACTGTGCATTTTCCAAAGTGAGTGAAGATGGCTAAGCAATGTATGTCACCTTGTGTAGCAAACTACTGAATATTTTTATATAGCCAAATGAGCTTATTACTCCCATTTTCAAGTGCATGATCTTGAAATGCCTGGAAAACATTAAAGAGCTTAGGATGAATTCAGTTCTAACATCATAATTGTACCATTCATCAATTCATATTCTACCATCATCACCCACTTCTTGGGGATTGCAGACTATGAACCAGAAAGCATTTGTCTGGGTGCCTTGGAGAACTGCAATGACAACTGTAATGCAGAGCAAGAAGGCAGTAGTATGTTTAGTGGCTGTTGCAACGTGTCTACATGGAGAGGGTGCTAAAAATGTCCTCATATATGCTCTAATGCTAGTTGGAGCTTTTGACAGAGCTGAATATGGACATGGCTTGATGTCAGTCAAAGACTTGGTGCTCTTGGTGCAGACTCCTGTGAAAGTGCCAAGTCATGCTTAGCTTATGAAGATCTAAAGGTTCACATTTTGCTAACTCATGTTTTTGCAGTTTGTCATCTTGTCAGCCATGCTGGAGTGACTACAACCACTCAGTGAAATAGGGTTCTAATCTCCAGTGAACGATACATGCCCACACTGTGTTAGAGGGCTGAGGGCTTGGGTTTCTGAGATACTTGCAGTGGCTGAGATTTGCAGCCTTAAGGGAATGTGGCTGGCACTCTGGCTGTAGCTTTGAGGGCCACAGGCCCCTTGGTCATCCTGGATAATCTCTAGAAAAATATTTATCTATTTTAACCTTGTGCTTCCGTACCCACAGAAACAGTTTAGTACCAAAAACCGAATGCATCTGAAACACATAGATCAAGCAGTGCTTGTATTTTGGGTCACAGAGTCAGTGCGATGCATAGTACAGTATCACACTGTTCTAAATGCAATATAAAAAATACCCCCAAACCAGAACATGTTTATAAATCTTCCTGTGCTGTCTGTTTGTTATGTCTGAACAGATGCTAAATATTATTAAGCTTGGTAGAAATTGTCTCATTCATACAGACGGGAATCTTACTGTCAGTTACTGACTCTTGCAAATGAGAAATGCATGTATTCCACCATACTATTTGTTCATTTGACAAGTGTAATTTAATTTTAATTGAGTTTTGTATTCCATTAGTAAAACTCTGTTTCCACTACTCTGTGGCATATTTCTGAAAGTTCTAAGCCTAATAATAGATCTACAGAACCTAGCTATTAAATATTTCTCATGACTGAAGTAGAAAAAAAGTTTAATTCTGTCAAATTGGAGTCTATCACTGGAAGCAAAACAGTAGGGACTATTTAATTGCATTAAATCAGTTCCTGACTTGTGCGCCATTAATGCTGACTTTGAATGCTTTTAAAGATGTATCTTGGGGTGTATTCATTTAAATAATTGCACAATTTTGTTTACTAGATTTGAGTAGCACAATCAGCCATTCCTCAGACAGGTTTTCTATGGCTAAAAAAAAGGCTTAATGGCAGAAAAGCTCCCAAAGGATAGTGTTTTTTTTTTGTTTTTTTTCCATTAAATGTATTTCAGGATGCATGCAGAAAATCTTGGATGTTGCAGCAATGCTAATGGCCACCTCTTCTTTCAAAAGGAATTCATATAGTTTTAGTTAACTTTTGCTTTAACAAAAATTAAGAGTAAGGTTGTAAAATATGGACCCTCTGAAGCTTAGAAATCTTACAAAAAAATCCTTTGCAAAAATCTTTGAGTTCTACATTTTGTTTTCTTAGAGTACTCTTCGTCTGCTGAGTCCTTTTCTTATTCCTCATTTTGCGATGTGCAGTATTATTTGCATTTGTAAAAAGAACCTTTTCACTCTGAATAGCTGATGTTGTTCAGTTCTAGTGGAAAGCTCCTACACCCCTGCACCTTTCCTCCCCCCCACCAAAAAAGACCCCAAACCCAAAACAACAGCCCCAACACCCACCCACCTCAGCACAGCTGGAAGCAAGACTATGCAGTACTGTTGGAGTTACTATGGTGAGGAATCATTTCTGCTTCTGAGCTAGCAGAATCATGACCTGCCAAATTAAATGAAAACCTGTATAACTGATTGTTTTCCTCAGCTTTTACACACATTTATTTTTCTTTTCACAGTGTCTATATCTGCAGGTTATTTTGGCTCTCAGTGTTCCATCAAAAATATTTTTCTTTTGTAAAAAATAATAGTAAAAAATCAATCCTTGAAGTATGATAATGCTAACTTAAGTCATCTATTCTTTCAGTTTCCAGCAGCCTGGTTGACTATGTTTGATGCAGTGCTTATTCTCATCCTAATACCCTTAAAAGACAAACTGGTGGACCCCATTTTAAAGAGAAATGGCTTGCTTCCATCCTCACTGAAGAGGATTGCAGTTGGAATGTTCTTTGTAATGTGTTCTGCATTTGCTGCAGGTAAGAAAACAATTTTAGAGATCTACTTACATCGTTATTTTTTCAGCTATTTGCAAGAGTATTTTTAAAAAACCTTTGTGAATCTTTAAGATTATTCAGAATTCTTTTTCATGGGATAGTTAAATGGAACTGCATGGATATATTTCTCACAATGAAAGAGATTTTACCCAAGGACTTACTGAACTGTTTTGAATGTTTGTGATAATTGGACCACTTTTCCTGCCTGAAACAGACTTTGAGCATACCTTTTAAAGCCAACTTGTTAGGTAAGGTTTTCACATACAGTGTTACTTTCTGGTATGCTTGGTAGAAAAGAACTGTTTGGTTTCTGACCATGTTTTCTCAACAAATCCTTAGCTTCGTGTTCAGTGCCTGAGCAAAGTGTCCAGTGTTTATAAGGCTGTTAGTCACCTTAAATTAAACTTTATGGTATTGTGGAGGTCCATGTTGTCTGATTTATCAACAATTTATCGTTAAGTTGAAAATTTATTTAATCTGAAAAACAGTTCAGAAATAATTATGTTCCTTCATACAGTCTGACTTCCGAGTATTAAAAAAGTGAAGTTTTACCTAAAATCCTTTCCCTGTATCTGAAATAATAAAGTTAGATTATGGCTGAACAAGAGTTTCCTTACACTTTAGTTTTTTTCTCCCCTACTTTAATGTTCCCTAATGTTTAGGAATTACTGTAGTGTAAAATAGCTTAGCTATAGCATGAGAGGAAAAAGATGGCAACTCTGTTCAAACCATAAATCGGCTGCTTTTGAGATGATTTAAACTTGTTAAGCACTGCTGATGTGGAACTGAGCAATGCTTCATAGAACCTATAGCCTTCACCTAGTATCACTGTAATGAACATATTGATAAAGCATTATAGCATTAAATAAATTAATTTCAGCACTTGTAATCTCCTATATTTTAGAGAAGGGGACATTTTATACGGCTATTAAGATTTCTCTCAATAAGAGAGATAATTATCTTATTAGGCCAAGGTCACTTTCTATGTAGGCAAGGAAAGTTCTTAAAGCAAAGTCATTTAAACTTTAAAATAGGAATGTTTCTCTTATTCCATATTACTTAGGACACTGCTACCAGCAAAAGAAGATGATGTAAAACAGTTAAATGTCAGCTCCTTAAATAGAACCTGCTGGCTCACATATAAGCGAATGCACAACCAGCAGTATCTGTCTTTACTAGTACTGGGGAAGAAAAGCATATGAAGCTATGATTGCTGATTTGAGGAATGTGTTCATATAGCAGAATTCTTCAAAATTTGAAATGCCACCTTGTTTTCTACTCACCTACAAATGTAACTCATGGCTTTGTTGGTTTCATCCTCTCCTGACTGTTCTTAAGAAGATGAATTCTTTGGGTGGTTACCTGCAGTTTGGTTGGAAAGTTTAACCTTTTGGAGTAACTTAACATCCCTTCATCATAACAGCAGTTTAAGAGCTTCAGTTGTGACAAATTTGGGGCCTAGGAAACTCTTTTTATTTCTAGCAGGGTGGAACACTTCTGTTGGTTTGTGTTTCATAAAATTTTTATAAGTGTATTTATAGAAGCCATATATTCGTATGCATAAAATAAAACATCACTTCCAACCATTTTTGCCTTGGAGAGAGATACTGATTAAAATTGTAAACGCATGAAGATGTTAATATCTTAACTTGCAATCTTGGAAGTATCTTAATTTGTTTGTGCCATATTTCCATTTTAACTTGCTTATCTTAACTGACATTAATTGTGGACGCTACCTAGGCTGCCTATTAGGTTGTTTAGATTATTTTAAGTATCTTCTAAACTGTGAGAATAAAAGTGATTAGATTTAATGAACATCTGCCAGTGCTCCATGCATTTAATCGTAAATTCTAAGCAGCAGTATTTAAGGTTATTCAACTGGAAAATCTACTTCATTATTAGAGTTTAAACAATTATAGCAAGACCTTAAAATCCCTTTAACTACTAAAACCATAAGATTAAATTTGAAGTTCGTCTGTCAAAGTGTGAGAATCAATAGATTCTGGATTCCAAAGTACTCAACTTTGAAGATAATTTATGGCAAAATTTGGTATTGCGTAGTTATGCTCATATGTGGCTAAATACCTCCTAAATCTGCATGTGTTGTGAAGAGTATCAAACACATTAAGGATCATTTTGAGATGCAGTGATTTTTTGTGTGTTGAATACGTATGAATGGAATTACATCCAAGTTCTTAGCTGACTGCATTGCTTTGGTTACATTTTAATTAAGGTCCATTCTGAAATGTTTGGCAGCTGTATTAAAACCAAAACATAAAGAAAACCAGCTTTAATTAAATTAGCTCCTCATAGTCCAGAGGGCACAGAGGTGGCTGAAGAACTAAAAGATACTTAAGATGGGTAAGTGGTCACCGAAAAAGTGAGGAAGGTAGAGGAAAAAGTGGTGGCCTGGCACTGAGGTATTAAGTTTAGAACAGTCTTTACCTGAAAAACACTTGTTAAGAAAACACTCCTTAAGGGCCTCAAGGTAATATTTAAACAAACTTGAGTCAGCCTAACATATTTTCCCTGTACAGCTCTTGGGTTTCAGAAGATCAGACTGTAGAGCTGTTGTGAGATTTCAAGCTGAATCAATTCTGAACTGCTATGAATGAACAAACATGAGTTATAAAATGCAGCCTTCCATCT